CCCTCAGAGAACCCACACAAAAGAGAGGTTGTGGCCTGTGTCCCCTGGTAGAAAGTGACAGGTGGCAGCATCAGCCTCCCCTGCCCTCCCCACTCACCAGGTCATCTATAAGTACCCTGTCCATTCTTTTAAGGGTTTATCTCCAGTCGTGTCCTGGCCCTAGCATCCCCAGGCCTGGCCTGGAGGTCAGGAGCCTTATCCACAGGCAAGGCCCAACACAGATTTTCTCACAATGTTGGAACTTGGCTCCATGATATAAACTCCCATCATTTAGTATTGACATCCAGCCTGTACACTCCTAGAGCCGTCTTCCTTTCCTCCTTGGGCAAACTTTTACTTAACTGTTACAAGTAAGAAGATGAGAAAGATCACCCCCAAACCCAGCCCCAAAGAGCTCTGGCACACCAGGTGGCAGAGAAAAGCAAGAGGAGGGGATGAGCTGATCTATGGAGGCCACCTAACGGGACCTCCGCTGATTCTGTGGGAGTTGGTAATCAGTAACTCCAGGACAACTTTAGAAAAGTCACAAAGAGCTTTCTACCTGAGTCAGGGGAGGGGGGTAGAGGATGCTAGGGCTCCAGCCAGGCCAACTGGCACAATGCAGTGACTTGCTCTCTTCAGAACCAGCATCCAAATGCATTTGCCAAGTCCGCAGGGAGCTTGGAACAGCAGGGAGATGGGATGTGCATCTGTGTGCAGATATCAGAACCAGGCTCTCATAAGTGTTACACAGAGAGCTAGCATGCATTGAAACGCTCCCTGGGCTGGCCCGCCCCTTGCATCCACCCCACTCCCCACCCCCTTGGCCTGGAGAAAAGTCCCCACATCCCCACGCTGGCTAACAAGGGATGTCAATTGTCAGTAGCAGAGGTAAGCATCAACCATGGGTCAGCTTGATTCTAAAGCCCTCCATCTATGTTTTTCCCTACTCCATTCAGAAGGTGAACCGCCATAGGCAGAGGTGGGCTTTGTGGCTTTTTTATAGCACATACAGACTGAGGTGATAAGATATTTACCAGATAGCACATGGAAGCTCAAAGCAGCCCTACCGTTTAATAACAGTATGCATTTCTTTCATAGCTTTTGCCTGGAGGACCCGGCCACTTATATAATTCCAAGTCCTTTACAACCATTCCTTCTCTGAGCAACTGAGCCACAGACCCAGTAGGAATGACTGATGTCCCACTCAACACAGAGGCACTGAGAGAGTAACCTGCTGGCCCAGGGCCTTGTGCTGGAACCAATTTGTAGCTTATCCATTCATTTATCTACCTGCCTTATTAGTTCAAGGGATTTGAAATGGCTTAGAAAAGATACATCTCATCATTGAAAATCGCTGTTATAATTTTTAGATAAGTTAAATATAGATAAATATTCTATTTTAGTATGTGTTTCCTTCAGTTCTAGGTACATACTGAGCCCCTTCCCCTCCCTAGTCCTTAGCATGGGCCAGGAAGAACCTGCCCCCTCATCCTCTCTGGACCACCCTCCCCACTCTTTTAGTCTCAGCTTTGATTTCACACACCCACCCCGTGTCAGCCCATGAAAGCACTCACTCAGAAGCTAAACAACATGTCCAGTGTCATCTGCCCAGCTGGTAAGTGGCAGAACTCCAGCATCCATGACTCAAATGAGAACACTGCTCTACAGAGAACCTTCTAGGGGGTCAAAGAGAAGTTGGTACTCTGACTCTTCAACAGACAAGAAACTCTCATAGCCCCTGTCTGTGGAATCCCTGAAAATAGTCTGTGAGCATTCCAAGCTAGAGCAAGAGTTTAAAGATAGGAAGAATCAACAAGCCACAGTGGTGTTCTCTATAATCTCAGCACTCAGAAGTCTGAGGCAGGAGGATTGAGACTTTGAGGCCAGCTCCCGCCAGCTTTCTACCTATCACCCCTTAAAAAAAAAAAAAAAAAAAAAAAAACAAGGGCTGGGGATGTAACACAGTGGTAGAGCACTTACCTAGGAATGTTCAAGGCTCTAGGTTCAATCTAGTACTGATAAGTAAATAATGAATAAATAAATAAATAAACAGACAAACAAATAAGATGGTTTACAAAGATTAAGATAGATGCAACATTCATGCCTACATTCTTTGATTCTCAGGAGGAAATTTTTATCCTAACTTTTCAAATGAGGAAAATGATACAGACGTTGAATAAACCTAGAAAATGGTTCAGCGGGCAAGAGTGTTTGCCACCAAGCCTGAACACCTGACTTTGATCCCTGGAATCTATTTGGTGGAAGGAGAGAACTGACTCCAACAAGTTGTCCTCTGACCTCCTAAGTAGGCTGTGCATGCATGTGCACATACATGTACACACTAAATAAATGTAAGATTCTATAGTTATTGAGTGTACTGGTCACTTTCCTCATCTCTGTGACTAACCCCCCGAGAGAAGCGACAGGAGGAAGGCAAGGCTTACTTTGGCTCGTGGTTCCTGGATGCAGTCTGTCACAGCAGGAGACGCATGATAGCTGATACAGCTTGGACAATGGCAGTGGGAGCTGGTAGTGCTGGCTTCTCACATGGTTCCGACCAGGAAACAAGAGTGGAGGCAGTTTATACCCCTCCTAGCCCACCCATAGTGGCCTACCCCTGCCTGCTAGGTCCTGGAGCTTTGTCATTTACCAGCTATACAAATGACTCTTTAATTCTAAGGACACTCATCCATTTAGGGACTTTCTAAAGCCTATAGGAATTTCTTTTATAAAATGAGTGTAAGATGTAAAAACTGGTAAAATCCAGATAATGTCTTTGAGATCATAGTACTGAACAATATCAAAGCCCATGGGGTTTTGTTCAGTGTGGAGTTGTGTGAGGAGTCCTCTCTGAGGAAAGGAAACAAAATTCTATGCAATTCTGGCAAGTCCTTATGAGTCTTAAACTATTACAAAACAAAAAGTAACAATTGAAAGACAAATTCTGGAGTTCCTTTTCCCGAGAAGATCCAGTATGTGACATCTCTGTTATAGAATAAACCTCTCCTTTTACCTTGGCTGCTGGGAATCTCAGAATCAAATTTTAAATTCATTGTAGAAATATCCTATCTATGGCCCATGAATATACATTCTTCTGTGTCCTGGCTCTTGGCTTTACATTCCTATTTTACTGTTGTTTCATAGTATTTTTTTTTAGTCCTAGGGTTGGAACTCAGGGCTTTGCACATACCAGACAAGTGCTGTACTAAGCTACATCTCCAGCCCCATTGTATATATTTCTTCTGAGAGGTTTCAAATCCTTTATGGAAAAAAATCATTAACAAAATAAAGCACTTGTTTACTTCTTAATTACATTTATTTATGTATTTGCGGGGAGGGGCATGTAGCGCAGAACACATGTGGAAGTCAGAAGACAACTCAAGGGAGTTGATTCTCTCCTTCCGCCATGTGGGTCCTGGGGATGGAACGCGGGTCTCAAGCTTGGCAGCAAGCACATTACTGCTGAGCTGTCGTGCTACCACCACTGTCCCCATGCTGGGTATAGAGTTTTGTTTTGTTTTTTAAATCATCAAGCAGCTCTCTTTCCCCTTTCCTTCAGAGCACTTGCCTAGAGCCATTTAACCCTCTTCGGGACCTTATTCTGAGCATCACCACAGCTTCCCTAAGCATCGAAAGCTTCAGCCCTGGTGAGCAAGGAACCAGGCAGCACACTCAGCAGCATGGGGAACCCTGTCCCTTAAGCAGGGCCATCCTCAGGCTGGTGGCTGTGATGTTCCTCTGAGGAGGAACCCAGAAAGAAGTTTCATCTTAGGTAGATCTTGTGAAGTGTAAGAGGCACATGTGGGACTTCTCACAGTCCATAGCAGACTCACTCCCATTCTCTATGTAAACTGGACAGATGCCAGTCCCACTCCCCCGGAGGCCTGAGGGGTTCACACAGCCCCTTGCGGGGGCAACACCATGCACATGGGTATTCAGCCAGGGACTGTTGAAGCAGAAAGCCTCTTAAAGCTCCGAAGGTAGAATACTGGGCTCTGACACAGCTTCGAGGTGCTTGGTGTCTTTGCTGAGCCTCAGTTTCCTCATCTGTAAACTGAGTCTCAGCTGGCCCACACCACTGATCTCTTGTACAATAAACATGAGGTAACGTGCAGAGGGTCAAGCACAGTGTCTGAAGTGCTGTTGACAATATTTCATCCTGTCTCCTCAATAATAAGGAGCTCTCGTTTGTTGTGTTCTGGGTGTTGAGCTAGGTTGTGGGAATGCACAAAGAAAGAAAATAGTGGCCCTTCTTGTGCCAGAGAGATCTGGTTGTCAACTTGACACACCTGGGATGAGGGAACCTCAGTTAGGGAATTTCCTCTATCAGACTGGTCTGTGGCTGTGTCTGTGAGGTGTTTTCTTAATGGCTGAGTGGTAGATGTGGAAGGTCTTAGCCCACTGTGGGTGATGCCACCCCTGGGCAGGTGGTTTTGGGTTGCATAAGAAAGCAGGCTGAGCACAGGCAAGAGGAGCAAGCCAGTAAGCAGTGTTCCTCCATGGCCTGTGCTCCAGCTCCTACCTCCAGGTTCCTGCCCTGCCTTCCCTCAATAATGAACTATCAGTTGGAAAAGTAAGATGACACAAACCCCGTCCTCCCCAAGTTGGCTTTGGTCAGTTTTATCACAGCAACAGAAAGTAACTACAGTACTTCCCGTGGCGGATGGAATGTTCATAAGATACAAGGATGTGTATCATCCCACTTAGGCCTCCCAGCAGCCCTGTGATATGACAGCACTGTCCCATTCCCTCTGCACAGACGAGGTCAGTCACCGCTGAGAATGGCGCCGACACCCCTCAAGTGCAAAGAGGGTGCTGGATCCAGCAGAGTTGAGCTCTTGGGGTCTGAGGGTTGCTTTAGGGTGTGTGCTTTAGGGGATCTCTGTGTGGCCATTTTAAGAAATCTCAGGAAAGTCACTGGGTTGGGAGGGCCCAGCCAGGCTTGCAGAGTGAGTGAGAGGCCAGTGGGCTCTGTGCAGTGTCTCTTCCTGAAGGCTCCTGGTGCTTTTTCCCCACAGGTGTCTGGAGCAGCGCCCAGCCCGCAGCCTGCCCACAGCCAGCGTCATTCTCTCCTTCCATGATGAGGCCTGGTCCACGCTCCTGAGAACCGTGCACAGCATCCTTGACACAGCTCCCAGGCCCTTGCTGCAGGAGATCATCCTTGTGGACGACCTCAGCCAGCAAGGTAGCCATGGTTGGCCTCTAGGAGGGGCTGTCCCTGGGCCAGGAGGGGAGTCCCATGTGAAAAAGGAGATTCAAATCCATCTTAGGCAAGGTTCCCCAGATGATGCAGAGGGAGCTTACTCTCCAGTGTAAGTAACTTATGAAGGGCCCCAGGGAGGCCGATAAGGCACAGAGGAAGAGGAAGCAGGACAGAAGGGGACAAGTTAGGAGGACACACCTGAGGGGAGACTCAGGGAGGGCACTAGGGCGGGTCACTTCAGGCTGATCCCTGAGGTCTCTTCCTCAGGCCCCACCATCCACACATCAATGAGCCTCTTCCCAAGCTGCAGTATCACAAGAGGGTGGCCATTGCCAGGGTGCTCCCTGCCTCCTGTGTGCTGGGCAAAGATTGCCTGCTGTCCAAACTGAAGACCAGAGATGAGAACTGACCAGAGCTGAGTCATGCCAAGTAGGACAGAGTCCAGCCCAGAGCACAGAGCACAGAAGATACTTAAATGGACAGGAAACAGCATGAAAAGAAAGCCAGGTCTGGCTCAGTGGGCCTCAGATTTCAGCTACATGAGCACCCCAGAGGGGCTTGGCTACACTGACTGAGGCTGGGTGTGGTGGCTGTGTAGGCTTGTCATCCCAGCTACTTGGGAGGCTAAGGCAGGGAGAATCACAACTTCAGGGCCAGCCTGGGCTCCAGAGGGAGTTCAAAACTAGCTCAGGCAACTTAATGAGACCTGTCTCAAAACAAATGAACAAACAAACAAAAGGGCTGGGGATATAGTTTAGTGACAGAGCACTTACCTAGCATGTGTGAGGCCCTGGGTTCCAGCCCCAGTTATTTCTACCCCCCTACCCCCCAGTTAGACAATCACCCCAGAGTCTCCGGATCTGGGTTGGGCCCACGTGCCTGTATCTATAACAAGCAGCCAGGTGAAGGGATGCTGTTGGCCCCTGGACCCCACTTGGAGAACTGTGGCTCTGGTCTTTGGTCAGAGTCCTCCATTCTTGCTCCTTCAGTGGCCCCTTCTGGCTTTAAGGAAAGACCAAGTCATTGTTGGGGGATGGGGCAGGGGGAGCTATGCTCTTGCTGAGGTCTGTACCACACCTTTCTAAGGGGACCATCAGATAGGAAGGGTGGGATGGAAGGACAAGACCTCTGCTAGGTCTTCCTGAGATTCTGCCATCTTGAATTTGACCAGTCTGCTCAGGGCAGAAGGTCAATCAGCTGGAGATTCTGAAAGTATGTGGGATCCCTGAGGCACATTTGGCCATGCATTAGTGGGGCTGATGGGCAGACACTGGGCTGGGCTGGGCTGCCTGGGAAAAGTACCTGGAGACCCTTCAACCCAGGTGCTCTAGAAAGCAGGCTTGTGGTCTCTCCCCATCAGCTGATGAGCTGTGTCACATCAGTGTTCCTTGGAAGTGGGAAGTGGAAGAGCTGGTCTCTAGAGCTGCCTCCCAAGACCTCTGCTCCAGCTGTTCCCACCTGAAGGTATCTGGATGCCTGCCCAGAAGCTAGCCACGGCCTCAGCCTTACCCTCTCCCTGTCCTCACCACCAAGCATGCTATCCCTCTAGGGGCCTCCTGAAGACACGGGGGTACAAGGGTTTGCCCACAGCTGGGATGATGTTGACTCTATCTGTCCCTAGGTCCTTCCTCAGTGGGTCTGCTGAGGCCCAGAGCTCAGACAAAGCCACTCTGTGGTCTGTCCCCATTTAACTCTCACAGCTGCCCTAGTTTGTCACTGAGGGGTCGCTTCTCAAATGTGTAGATTCAGAACACACATGCACATACACAAGCATGTGCACACCCATGAATGCACACAGGGTCACACATACACACACACACGCATGCATGCATACCCATGAACAGGCACACATATGCACCTGCATGTCACATCCACGAACACACATTGAGTACATGCATGCCCATGTGCACACACGTACATGCACGCACACATGCACATAGCATCAAGTTTTCTGTCTTGAGCCCAAAGCCTCTTGACTTGCCTTTGTGTCCTCCTTAAGGTTTTGTCTCCCTTCCCCTATGGAAGCAACTTTCCAAAGCACAGTGCTAGACGTGGCCTTGGCTTCTCACCTCCCTCTTCCTCTTAGACCTATCCTGCCTGCCACTGGAGATGAAAACCTCAGAGACCATACCCCAGTAGCCTACCAGCTGCAAGTTTCATGAACTCTTTGTCTTTAACTCCCTTGACCACTGTCTTAGGTTGGGTTCTCTGGATGAGAGCCTGAGGTGGAGATGTGTGGGAAGGTGGTATTCTTGGGGGATCTACTCTCTTTTGGAGTTTGTTAGCAGGGTCCTAGTTTTACACACCTTCCCTTCTGGTGTGAAGAGACAACCATCAGTCATCCCAGCCCTTAGTGATTGACCACACTATAGTAATGCATTTGAGGTTCAGGATGCTGGTGCTCACCATGGCTCTATGAGTGTGACCTTCATGGTGTTCATCACAGCCCCGTTGGCTACGATAGCTGTGACCCCTGTTGACAGGGCCCTGTCAATTCCAGGACAACTGAAGTCTGCTCTGAGCGAATATGTGGCCAGGCTGGAGGCTGTGAAGCTGCTCAGGAGCAACAAGAGGCTGGGCACCATCGGAGCCCGGATACTGGGGGCCACCAGGGCCACAGGGGATGTGCTGGTCTTCATGGATGCCCACTGTGAGTGCCACCCCGGTTGGCTGGAGCCGCTTCTCAGCAGAATAGCTGATGACAGGTAACTCACTGCATCTGGCATCTGCAGAGCAAGGAGGGAGCCTGGGAGAAATAGCCCAGGGTGCAGTTACTCACCGAAAAGAGTATCCACCTACCAGAGTATCCACCCACTGTTTGCAGGATGCCAATATTCGCTATCCAGTTTCACTACCTATTTCTTTGGGGCTTCAGGTATTCGAGACCAGAAGTATGGGGAGTTCCTGTTGGAAGGCACGATAGAGTTCTTCCAGGCCCAGAGGACAGCTTCTGCCAAGTTCAAATCCTTAACAACCCTGTTAAACTGTACAGGAAGGACAACTCTTACCATGTCTGTTGTTACCCTTGCCTTTGCCAGAGTTTTAATCAAGGTTGCAATGCACCCTGGGGAAACAATTTCTCCACTCGCCTAGACCATAGATCACCCACCCCCAAGAAGAAAGCATTAGATTTGAAGCCACCAGTTTTCTTGACAGTTAGCTTTCTTTGCTCCTCTGCATTACATACAGGGTCTCTCGTTTTCTAACTAAGCCAAGCGCTGGGAATTGCAGAGTCAGAGGGCCTTACAACTTAGCACTGTCCTGACCTTTCCTCTCTTCTCCCTGGATCCCTGCCATGCCATCTTTCCCACCTCCCCTTGCTCAACTTGAGCATTTCCTAAACCTGACCTGTCAATCATTTCCTTCAATCTGAATATCCCACTCAGGAAAACCAATTTCAGGCTCCCTCCCACCCCGAAATTTTAATTGCCTCTGCTCTGTCCTCTCTTCCTGCCCACTAGCTCACTTAGGACTGCCTCAGGCACTCCCTCACCCCCTGGAACTCAAGTGAACCTCCTGACATCCAGCCAGGTGGGGCTGTTAGAACCAAGCCGAATGGTCCCTATTCTTACAGTCTGTTGATTGTTTCATTTGAAGTTGGGACCTCATGGGAACGGGTCTTTAAGCAATGAGGATTATAAGGCAGTATGGGGTTAGCACCCTGTCTAAGGAAGGTTTCCAAACAAGGTAAAGCGAGGTGTCACTGGCCCTACTGTCGCATAAGGAATAACAACCAAACCCTAGGGAACCAAGACAGATCAGACTGATGTTTGCCCAATTCTATGACAGACATTTTGCATAAAGAAAGGAGATGTACACCAGACCAAGCCCAAGAAAAATTCACAAAGCCTACAAGGCAGTCTTCTTTGATTCTATATCATGAACCTGCTCTCTCAAAAGCATGAGTCTGATGGGAAGTTGTCTGTTCCATTTCCTGTTCTAATTCCCTCCCTGGTATCAGAGATGGATGACTCAGGGGCACCTTGGAGACCACCTTGTCCTACCTTAGGATTTCATGTTGAAAAATCCACATGCAGACATTTGAGAACTGACATTGTTATTGTGTCGGACCCAGCTGGCTTCCTTCATCTGCGTACTTCAGTGACTCCTATGTGGAGTGGCTCAGGAAGGCCTCCCTGCTTCTGTTTCTTAAGGGGTGGAGAAACTGAGGCTCAGAGAAGTGGAAGCACCTGCAGGTAGTGCAAAGAGCAGGCGTCTGAGTCAGGCTTTATTGACGCAGGCTTGGTGCTCTTAGCCTACGTGATTTCTTCTTAAGAACCACTGAAGCCGGTCAAGAAGAAACATTTAGTCCCTTCTAATCCCCAGCGCTGGGACATGTGATGTGAGTCCCTCACGTCAGCTTCTTACACACCACCTCAGAGCTCTAGAGCCCTCGCTGCAGGCCGGAGCAGAGAGATGCAGCAGTACCTCGGCATCGTTAGCTAAAAACACAGGTGGCTCCCGCCCACCCTGAAATTCTAATTGCCTCTGCTCTGTCCTCCCTTCCTGCCTCTCTGTCTCTGTGTCTCTTTCTCTATCTTTACCACTCTGTCTCTGTCTCTCTCTGTCTCTCTCTTTCTCTCTCCAGTCCCTAAATCAGATTCTAAATCAAGACAAAGCAGTTTCTGTGCTAACAGGCATGAGCAGCCTGCGAGTAGTCTGTGCCGTTGTTTGATTATTGGTTCTTTCCAGGAAATGTGTGGTGTCTCCAGTCATAGATGTGATCGACTGGAAGACATTCCAGTATTCCCCATCCATGGAGTTGCAGCGAGGGGTGCTGGACTGGAAACTGGATTTCCGCTGGGAGCCCCTCCCGGAGCAGGAGTGGAAGGCCCTCCCATCCCCCATCAGCCCTGTCAGGTGAGGCCCTGCCACAGCTGCCATGCCCTGGCTCCACACTTTTACAGGAAGTCACTTTACCTGTGTCTCAGTTTCTTTATAATAGTGCCTACCACATGGGATTGTTGTGAAAACTGCACAAGCTAATATATACAAAGCATTCAGCTGGCTGCAGGCCCTTGGGACTAGGTGCTGCTATCACTGTGATATCAGTGGAGCCCAGTGAAGCTCTTCCAGAAGCTCCCATGGATGCTTAGACTGGGAACATGGAAGGAGCTGAGCTGGCCTTGACTCTCTCACCAGATAACACTGGAAATTCCTTGGTCTCAGGCCTGCTCGGCAAAAAGGAAAACTTGGCTGTCACAAGTAACTCCTAAAAGACCCGGCTCTGGGGTTTGCCTCTCCCATGTTTGGTTTTTGAAGAAATATTTTATTTAAGTAGCTATTCTAGAAACCTTTTGCTCCCTAACCACCTCAAACTTTTTGTGTCAAACAGCCATTCTCCAAGGTCACAGATGCTGTGGGTTATGAACTCCAGAAGGGCTCAGCAGGGCTGGCTGGCTCTGCTTCACTCCGTCTGCCTCATGCAGAATAAATTCCTAACACCGTGAAGCCAATGAGAGGTAGATCCAGACTTAATCCCAGGGTAGCCATGCTTCCCCATTATGCTAAGCTGGTGTATTAGTCACTTTTCTGTTGCTGTGATAGAAACACTGACCCAAGCAATTTATAGAAGGAAGAATTTATTTGAGCTTACAGTTCCAGGGGAATTACAGTCTGTCATAGGAGGAAGGCATGGTGACTGGAGGTGGCTGGAGCAGGAGCAGCAGAAGCTAAGCTCTCATATCATGCAGGCACAGGAAACAAGAGGGCAACTCGAGATCTGGTAAGGCTTAAGAACTCTGTAAGCCCACCCCCAGTGACGTGCTTCCTCCAGGATAGCCACACCTTCTAACACCTCCCAAAACAGTGCCATCATCTGGGGACAGAATGTCCAAACACTTGGAGCCTATGGGGGACATTTTCATTCAAACCATCACAGCTGGGTTGTCAGTTCAAAGTCACAGTTCATGACTCAGAACTGTAGCAAAGCACTCCAAAACCAAGCATGTCCTCACAATTCACCAGACAGCAGGAGTGGCTCTGAACTGATGTGGTGTCTGTACAGACCTGATGGAGCCCATGCACTGTGACAAGCCACATGCTTACTGAAGCAATGTCAATGCTTTACTAGAACGAGGTCACCAGGGTTGAAAAGCACTATGTCATGTATGCCCCTTTCTAGAATCCAAAATTTCTGAATTAAAACACAACCCAGGAGCTAGGCTGATATATACCTGTCATCCCAGGAGGAAGATCCCGAGTTCAAGGCCAGCCTTAACTACACAGTGAGGCCTTGTCTCAAAAACAAAAACATTGTAAAGACAGTCAGCCAACCACCACCAGCCCTATGAATTTCCAAGCGGAGTAGTGAACATGTAGCAGTACAGTTTAATACTTAAAATACGGCATACACGGTGCCATGCACTTTATATGACTTGTTATTTCAATCCCCATAAAACTCAGTTATGAACTATTTTATCCCAGTTACAAGTAAGAAAACCAAGCTGAGAGGTAACATAATCCCCCAGACCTTACACATAGTTAAGGGGCTGAGGTAGAAATTGGCGCATGTAATCACTACAATACTGATTTTCAGCATTCTTGTACATTAATATTCTAATGCCCTAAAGGCCAGGGATTTTCTTACTATGATGCTATTTCCTTGGTCATTAAATATCTGAAGTTTAAGTCATCTACATTTTGAGACATATCCAGAGTCTGACTGCATTAAAATCTGTTTTGAGTGAAAGAACTCTTGTTCAAAGACTTCCTGGATGTCTTTCTCTGTGGAAAATCCTTCTGAGGAATATTATTTCTACCCTGATTCCCTTACTCAAAGTTTCTAGTTTGCTGCATGTATAAGCCATCTGTATTTTTCCTTAGTGCAGGTAGGAGCCTAGCTGCTTTCAGAACACCTCTTGGATTCATCTTAAAGTTGGGGAGTGGGTAGATGACCATTAAGAAAACAGAGAGGGGCTGGAGAGATGGCTCAGTGGTTAAGTGCACTGACTGCTCTTGCAGAGGACCCGGGTTCAATACCCAGCACCCACATGGTGGCTAACAACCATCTTTAACTTCAGTTCCAGGGGATCTGATACCCTCTTCTGACCTCCACTAGCATTGCAGGACACTGGTGCACTTACATACATGCAGGCAAATACACATACACATAAAATAAAAATAATAGATAAAAAGCAAACAGAAGAGGGGGAGGGAGGTGGGAAGAGAGGAGGAGAAAGCTTGTATTTGTTACTTTTCTCCTCACTGTGACAAAATGCCTGACAGAGCAAGTTAAGAGAGGATGTGTCTTGGCTCACGGTTCAGAGATTCTCAGAGCATCATGGCATGGGGGCTGGCAGCAAGAGTGCCTCAGTCCATGCTGCAGGAGCCTGTGGTGCCAGTTTGTTCACATGGTGCCAGACAGGAGGCAGAGAGCTAAAGGAGAACCAGGGATGATAGAACCTTCTAAGGCCCGTGTGCTGGATAACTTTAGTGTCAACTTGACACACGTAGGTTGAGGGGGCCTCAATTGGGGAATTGCCTCTGTTGAACTGGCCTGTGGCCAAGTCTGTGGGGCATCTTCCTGATTATTGTGTCTTGTGGGAGGGCCCAGTCCACTGTGGGTGGTGCCACCCCTGGGCAGGTGGGCCTGTGTTGTATAAGAAAGCAGGCTGAGCATGGGTCAGGCGAGCAAGCCAGTAAGCAGCGTTCCTCCATGGCCTTTGCTTCAGCTCCTGCCTCCAAGTTCCTGTCCTGAGTTCCTACCTTGGGCTCCCTGATAAACTGTGACCTGAGAGATGTAAACTGAATAAATCCTTTCCTCCCCAAGTTGTTAGTGGTCAGAGTATTTTGTCATAGCAATGGAGACACAAACTAGGATATCCTACCCCTAATAATCTGCTTCTGTCAGCCTGGTCCTACCTCCTAAAGGCTCCATAGCCTTCAAAACTATGCTAGATGCTAAAGACAGAGAGTTCAAAACAGGAGCCTGTAGGAGACATTTCAGATTCAAGCCATAACAGAACCTGACCATATTCTCTGGCACAGGCCTAGTGCTACCTCCCTTAGGGTGTCTTGTGAAAACCAAACCCTTGGGGCTGGAGAGATGGCTCAGCGGTTAAGAACACTGACTGTTCTTGCAGAAAACCTGGGTTTGAATCCCAGCACCCACATGGCAGCTAATAACTGTAACTCCAGTTCCAGGGGATCCAACAGTCTCTTCTGTCCTTCACGGGCATTGCATGACACAGGTGCACTTGCCTACATGCAGGCAAGACACACACACACACACACACACACACACACACACACACATAAAATAAAAATAATAAATAAAATATTAAAAATAAATAACACCAAAGCCTTCTTCTCAGGCAACTCTCTAGAGGGACTCAAGTTCAATCCCTGGTCCCTTCTGTAGAAGGAGACCTGAGGACAAGCTATAAAGGTACAGGCAAGCTTAGTTCTCTCTTTTTTTTAAATTTATGTGTATGTGTGTATGTATTTGTGTGAGTGTATGCCACATGTGTACAGGTGCCCATGGAGGCCAGAAGAGGGGCTTCCCTGGAGCTGGAGTTACAAGTAGTTATGAGTTGGAAATCAAACTCAGGTCCTCTGCCAGAGCAAGTGCTCTTAACTGCTGAGCCATTTTTTCCACCCTCTAGTTTCTCTTTATAAAATGCTTGGATTTCAAACATTGTTGCTTTGCTCCAGCCCAATGTTGGGGTCCACCTGAGCTCAGAGTTTGTCTTCTCAAGCACTGAGCTGCCCCTGGGAAAGCGCTCCCGGGCCTTGCTGTGTGCTGAGTTGGTCGGAGTTGTAGCGTCTTCCCTATCTTTCCTCTGCAGGAGCCCCGTGGTACCCGGAGAGGTGGTGGCCCTGGACAGGCATTACTTCCAAAACACTGGAGCTTATGACTCTCTCTTGTCACTTCAGGGTGGCGAAAACCTCGAATTGTCCTTCAAGGTAAGTCCTGTACCAAGGGCAGGCCTGGGTGGCATCTCTGGAGCCCAGTGTATAGTTCTAGCTTAGAGTCATAAATGGCAGGGAATGAGGCTGTGTGCAAATTATAAAGTCATTACAATGAGGTGTCAAACTTCCTATTTTTCCCCTCACAGCTCTTTAGGGAGCTTCCTTGATTTTACTCTCAGCCTCTCTCATGAACTTGACATTCAAAATCTTCATCAGGAGAAGATAGAGTATCAGTCATTTACATCTTAGTGCAGAGATTCTAGAGCTGCAGGTACCTCCTCTGTTCACAGTACCAGCTTTTAGAAACTCCCTGGCCACTGCATGCATCGTTTCTCTGTGGAAGTATCTCCTGGGGACAGGATGCTGATCCTTGCATTGTTCCATGCACTGACTCTGTATACATGTCCAGGTGACACATTCAGGCAGTTGTGTGGGTGTGGCCCATCACCCCTCAGTTCCATCCTGGAACAACTGTCTCCCAACCCCTCCCACCTTGTCACCCCCCCTGCCCACACTCCTAGATCGGGCAGCTGCACCCTGAGGATTCTGACTGGCCATTCTGGACTCATGATTTCCTGGTGTTTCACAAAGAGATGGAGGGTGGAGCTGTTTACCTTCTCTCTCTGTGACAGGCCTGGCTCTGTGGTGGCTCAGTTGAAATCCTCCCCTGCTCCCGAGTGGGTCACATCTACCGAAGCCGAGATACCAGCTCCCCGACTGACCTGGAGGCTGCCCTACAGAACAAGGTTCGCATTGCTGAGACTTGGCTGGGCTCCTTCAAAGAAACCTTCTACAGGCACAGCCCAGAGGCCTTTGCCCTGAGCAAGGTAAGGAGAGACCAGGTGGAACCTGTACCCAGCATAAGGCCCCCAGCTTCCCTTCTGGCTTGGGCTTCCCTGAGTTGACCCTCAGAAGGGACCCTTCTACCTGCCTTCTGTCCCTACCAGCACCTCCCTGGAGCATCACAGTTGAACTTGGCCTAGAATTTCCTGCTCTCTATAGATGATATGATACTGTCTACAGTATGACATTTCAGCATAGGCCAGAGGGGAGGGTAGATACAGAGAGGTGATGAGTCAGTCTCTGAGGGCCCTCTCATCCTGGGCAGTGCTCCAGGGTTAGGGAATATACAAGACATGAGACAGACTTGAGTATAAAAATAAATATAAAGAATTATAAAAGGCACAGAAAAATGTTAAGTTTAGACATCTAATTAAATGTTCTCCCAGTGTACTATCAGTCTGACAATTCTTATGGAATGGCATATGTGTGCTATCTACTGTGAGCCATGGGTTGTCCTTACTGTATGCTGCACTGCAAACAGGGCCCCCAAAGGACCACATGGTCCTGGAACAGCTCCCATGAGCCCCTCAGCAGCCCATGACTAGGTGTGGGCTGAACAGGAGGATCGATAACATAGATGAAGGCAGGGTCTGTAGACAGACACATGCATGCCCACTGTATGCAGGCAAAGTCAGGCACAGGTGAGCCATGGAGGAGCCCAGTGCCCCGACCCCCAGGATCCTCAGGTTCAATTCTTCCCTGCCCCAGATCCATCTCCTTCCCTACAGCAGACCAGCCTTCAGGCTCTGGGGTGTCAGAAGTCCTTGAACTTCAGTGTTGTTTGTTTCTTTAACAGGGGAATGTTGATGACACATAAAATCTGTTTAGTCCCAAGGACTACCACCTAGAGTTCCCCCTGGGTCCTCATGAGTGAGTCACATTATTACCCAGAGTGGCACTAGGCTATTTTCCCACACAGAAGCAATGGGGTCACCACAGCCTCTAAGTTTGCTAAGAAGGGACTGAGATGAAGGGGAAACTCACCAGGACCCCACTTAATCCTTCAGTTCTCTCTCTCTCTCTCTCTCTCTCTCTTCTCTCTCTCTCTCTCTCTCTCTCTCTGTCTCTCTCTCTCTTTCTCTCTCTCTCTCCTTTCCCTCACTAATTCCTGTTTGAGGAGTTTCTTATCTTTGGTTTGATTTCAAGAATTCAATGACACCCATGCTTCCCTGAAAGGGTTTGATAGCACACTTTTACAGTATATTTAAATAGCTCAATACTAATTTTGTTCCAAAGATTTCTAGCCCTTCCAAGCCCTCAAATGAATTCTGAGATACAAAGATCCTGGGCACCTGAAAGGCAGGAGCAAGTGCTGCATTTTCTTCTAGTTCCACCTCTCTCAAGCGTAGTTGTGTAGAAGTTCGAGGTCAGCATGTCCAATGCTTGAAGTCACAGGTTGGGTAGATTTGCCAGCTTGTCCCATCAGCAAGAAAGGTGGGGTAACAGAACTCACACAGAGGAAGGTTTTCTGCCTTGTAACAAAGTGCAAACCTGCGGTAGGGCTGGGGAAATGTCAAATAAGAACTTAGGAATGGAATTTAGGAATGGAACAAGAAACCATTAAAGCCCCTTCATATCCATTTCCTCAGAGGAAGCAATACAGCCTTTGATTTAACGGTGGGCAAAGATATTGAGTAAACAAGAAACTCCAGACTTAGAGAAGTTGTTCTCAAACCTTGTCTGTGGAAGAGAGTAGCCAGGAGAAATGGTTAACATGCATATTCCAGGGTCCCCAACAGAACTAGTCACGGATCTGGGATATGGCCCAGGAGCTTGCATTTGAACAAGCTCCCAGGCAGGCATTCCCAAACCAGGTGGTCACACCCTGAGAAGTGGACCTGACTCCCCAACATTTCCTTCTGAGGACTAGGAGAGCAAACTCACCTCACACAGCCTTCTGGGTCCCTCTGTGTCTTAATTCCAGACCAGAGGCCACCAGGGTGGAACTCTGACATGGATATCATCCTCATCTCTGTCCTCTCCCCCTTCTCCCTTCCCTCCTCCCTCTCTCTTCATGCTCAGTCATTACAAACCCTCCTTAGAGCCTCTCTGTCCCCTGAAAAGAAAGTTGTTCTAAACTTCTGATGGATTTCTTCACATCTTACCAATACAGCCTAAAACATCAAACTAGTGTTAAGGGTTGATGTCAACCTCCATATCATTGTATTGAAAAGGAGGACGAGAGGGGCCAGTGTAGCCTAAATGAATGAGTCATTAATGAAGGAAACTGAGACGTAGAGAAGAGAGACTAACTTGCCTCTCATCATCCCTAACCCGTTTCCCAGCTGACTTGTCTCCATTGCCTCTGGGCTGGCTCTTGCCCTGGTGAGGTCCGTGGCAGAGTCCACCATTTCTTTCACCTTCCAGAGAAAGTCTTTAAAGCACAGACACCATGGTCTTTGTAGGCTGAAGACTGGGGGACTGTGGGACCTAGGATCACTTCTAATCTTGCTGGTTCTGCAGCTTTCTAGAGAAGACACCTGATTCTATACCTTCTAAACCTTCTCTTAACATATGACTGCTCTATACTAATCTTCCTCCCAGCCACCTCTATCCCTCCCCTACCATGTGAGTTTGGGGGTGAAACAAGCTTTTCTGACCTTGTGGACAGTGTCCTTTTCTTCCACCAGGCTGCGAAGCCAAACTGCACAGAGCGTCTGCAGCTTCAAAGAAGGCTGGGTTGCCGGACATTCCACTGGTTTCTAGCCAATGTCTACCCTGAGCTATATCCATCTGCACACAGACCCAGGTTCTCTGGAAAGGCAAGGCATGGCCCAGGGGAGATGGGGAAGAAGGAAGGGAGAGGGTCAATCCCCAAGACAGGAATTACACTTTCAAGTGCTCTTCCCTTACACTGGTTACCAGTGTTTCCCACCCTACACCTGAGCCCCCACCTCCCTGTCAGTTTGAGGAAGCTGTGCTGCCCTGCATGCCACCCCAGATCCCCTGACCAGGAACGTATGGTCCGACTCCTTCTGGAGGCTCTTGCCTTAGGATCAGTGGCTTGGGCTTGACCTCTATCACTGTGGCTAAAAAATACATAGTGGGCCCCAGTCTATGCAGGAAAGGAGGGTGGAGCCTGCCCTAGGGCATCTTCACAGTGGAGGCTGAATTCATGTCTTTTTGGATGTCCACTTTCAGCTCCACAACACTGGACTTGGCTTCTGTGCAGACTGCCAGACAAAAGGGGCTATCCTGGGCTGTCCTGTGACATTGGCTCCTTGCAGTGACAGCCGGCAGCAACAGGTGGGTGATGAACATTGGCCTAAGAAGACTTTCAAGTGGGTGCCGGCATGCCCTTTACTTTTGTAATACCCCAAGCACCTCCATTTTGTATAAATTTAACTGGTCAATCATCTGATCATAGGACCACCCCTAGGAAGGTGGGTCATGCTAAACAGATGGGCAGAGTACCTAGTGCATTAATGAGATAGTAAGTTTTTCCTACCTGGAATCCTGCCCACTGGTGCAGAACTTCCTAGCTACAGGGTGTAGTCTGAGTTGCCCACTTCCCTGAATTCTTTAGGGAGGTGTAACTTCCCTTTTTCTTCTTCCTGCCTTTCTTACTGCACATGCTTTCTTTAAGGCTTTGGGCTGCCCCTAGCATCCTGCATTTCTTTACTTTTTCTCTAAAGCTCCCTTCTCCCAGCCATGCCAGTCAGCCACATGTCTGGCCTCCCAGGCCGGCTCTAAACCTGCATGGCTTCATGGCTTTCTTTCTTTCTTCCTACTATTCACCTCCCTAAGGCAGCTGGCAAGATTACCAGCTCACCTGCCCTGAGGATTTTTCTTTAAAATTCTAATAAAATTGTAAAAGCTTGATTTGGCTGATTTAAAACTTTGAGTGTGGGTAGTCTTTCCCGGTGGTCCCAAACTCTGTAACACTTTTATCCAAAGTTGCTTCTTTCTGTGGTCCCATGTCCCTTGACTGACCGTGGTCCCCTGATGTGATGCCGTATTACAGCTCTGCTCACCTCATCCTCACCTTAGACTTGGACCAGCAAACAAAAAGGAGCATCTTAGAAGGAAATAGAAACGCAGCTTATCTATCTAGCCCTTGCATCTGACAGATGAGGAAACTGCCATAGAATCACTAGCCCAGGCACTTCAGGCTCATAGGCCTTCAGGATTGAAGCAGGGTCCAACAGTCTGAGCAGAAGCAGAAGGGGATGGGTCTGCACATGCATAAGACCCTTGGTTATTAGAAGATCCCTGAGATACTTAGACTGTGTCTTATTCCCTTCAATTCTTCCATCATGGATCCAGGCATACACCTTTAATCCCAGCAGAGGCAGAGGCAGGTAGGTCTCTTGAAATGCTGGGAATCGAACCCAGGTCCTCTGCAAGAGCATCCAGTGCTCTTAACCACTGAGCCACCTCTCCAGTCCCTGAGGAAAGGCTTTTGTAAAAATTTTATTTATTATCCTTATTTTATGTGTGTGGCCTGAATTCTCTCTGGGTTTCCTGCACGATCCAACAAACCATACAATATATTTTATGTGTATTTATTAACTTACAAAGGAATGAGTACCCAGTGCCTCAGAGCCTGCCTTATCAGACCGTGCCACACCCATAATTCCGCTCATGCCTCTGGGGCCATCATAGCCCCAGGTCCACAAAAGTCAGTCCATTCTGTCTTTCAGCTGTTGCCGTTCCCACTGCTGGTTTGCTTCCCCACAGCTCCCGGCTTCGGCTTCCGTTCCAAGATGGTTCCCAGCCACCACCCCCATAGGAGGAACTAGCCAATCGGGAGACAATGTGTATGAGTGTAATGCCTGTGTAGGTGGGTACACCTGTGCCGTGCAGTGCCCACAGAGGTCAGAAATAGGCATTAGAGCCCCTGGAATTGGAGTTATAGACTGTTTTTAGCCACCATGTGGGTGCTGGAAATCTAACCCAGATCCTTTGCAAGAGCAGCCAGTGCTCTTAACTACTGAGCCATCTCTCCAGCCCTGAGGAAAGGCTTTTTAAGCTCACAGTTTCAGAGGGATTTCTGTGGGGTAGAAGGCATAGTGGTTGGATTGGCTCAGTCTGTGGTGACAGAAGCGTAGGCACTTGGTAACTAATCCACATGGTACAGACCAGGAAGTAGAAAAAGTCAGCCAGAACCCAGGGTGAATATAACCTTCAGAGGTTTGCCTCTCATGAGTGGCTTCTCCCAGTCAGGCCTCACATTAAAGGCTCCACAGCCTTCTGAGTAGCTTGAAAGCTGGAGACAGAGCATTCAGAGCATGAGCCTTTGAGGGAGGGAGGCATTTCACATTCCAACCATGAGGACCTAAAGAGCCAAGTGAGAAAGCCACATGACAGGGTTAAAGCTGCCCAAGCTTTGCTGCCATCCATAGATGGCCTTGAATCGAAGTTCCCACTACCAGCTGTGTGATCTCCGCAGGCTTCTGAGTGTCTCTGAGTCTTGGTTTCTTCATTTGCAACTAAGAACGATGTAGTCTTCTTGATGCAAAGAGAATATTTGCTCTGTGCATTTTTTTTTCTTTTTAATTAGTGAGGGCTTCTGGATCCTGCAATATTGTAAACTAAATAAGCTGAAAATCCTTTCCTAAAAAATAAAACTATATGTATATATGCTGGGCAGAAATAATTATGAAATGCTCATTTCCAAGTGCAAGTCATTGAGTTTGCAAGAAAGAAAGGGAAATCTCCAGGAATCAAAACTCCAATGGCTGGGACTGGAGAGAGGGCTCAGTGGGCTGCTCTTGCAGAGGACCTGGGTGCAATTCCCAGCACCCACATGGTGGCTAACAACCATCTGAAACTCCAGTTCCAGGGGATCTGACGCCCTCTTCTGTCCTCTACCAGCATTGTATAGCACAGGTGCACTTACACACATTCAGGCAATACACTCATACGTATAAAATTTAAAAATAATAAAATAATAATAAAAAAAATAAAAACTCCAATGGCAACTGACAATAGAACCACTGGGCCTGAGCTAAGCTGCCCTGTGAGGTGGCAGGAATGGGTGGCCAGCAGCCTGAGAGATCTAGGAGTGTGGCTGCAGACAGGGATAAACAGGAAGAGCCCAGCTTCAACCCAAGCGAGATGAAGTTGGAAATGAGGACTTCCATGTTAGCCAGCTTGACCTTCACAGGGTAGCCTGTCCTTGCAAAGTTGCACCAGAAATATCTATCCACGACCCCAAGGGAACAGCGAGAAACTCATCTGTCACTACAGATAGGGTTTTGAATAGGCAAAAAATTACTCTCCCCTGAGAACTGCCCACAAGCTTGCTTCTAAGATGTGTTTAAGGATCCAAATTTATGCTAACTGTGCAGTTTGGGAATCTTCAAACTGGGCAGACTACTAAATTTAATTTGCAAATTAGCACCCTAATGTAAATGGAAAATGTGATGTCCCTAATTCATCCGTTATTAAGAATTTCAAGAAGGTAACAGCAGAGCATCAAATCAAATCTATTGAACCAAAGGCATTAAACCCTTCTGAGCACAAGGCTCACATGGTTGCACAGGCTGAAGCCACTTCTGTCTCAGAGCCACACCATTAACATAGAAATTGGTTCAGACTGCATCTGGCAGGAGCAAACAGAAATGGTTTTGTCAAGACATGCCTCCCAATAAGTTGATCCAGGCATCTCGCAGTGAAAGTCCCTCTGCACAAGTCCACACAGCCCAGTACTACAAAATCCTGGAGGTAATAGAAACCATGAGCAAGGGTCTTCCGACACTGCAAACAGCAGGAAAATTGGTTTCAGGGCAGATAACATCTCTCCAGATCAACTTGGGCTTTGGAAAAGCTCACCTACCATTCTGACAGCTCACTCACAGAACATGCAGCCTTTAAAAATACTTTATCTATGGACAGTAAGTAGAAAGCCAGAGGAGCATGAAACAATGTATAAATAGGAGCAGCCAGAATGCTGGGCCTTCAGCGTCCAGGGATAGTCTTGCTGATCGGCCCTGTAGAATCTGAAGATAGTCCCTAGGACTCAGCTCCTCTGTGAGTTCCTCTCACCCACCGTGGCTCTGGAGAGGGTATCTTTCTAATTGCTAACCACCTTCCCCTTAACCCCAGCACCTGGAGCACACCGGCAGAAAGGCAATTCACTTTGGCAACCCCCAGCACCTCTGTTTTGATGTAAGAGGAGAGCAGGTAATTCTGCAGAACTGCACTGAGGAAGGCCCTGCCATCCATCAACAGCACTGGGACTTCCAAGAGGTAAGTAATCCACTCTGGAGGTGCTGATATGTGGCCAGTTAACACGGACTTCCAGTCAGCCTGACTTTCACCTTTAGCACAGTGTCCCGGGCTCTTCCAAGAGGTCAGGTATTACCCAAGATGGTGCCTCTGTTATTGAACTTGGCATTAGGACCTCTGGGGGAGGTAAAGCCAATCCAGCATCAGAAAGTATACTAATTTGCCTCTTCCTGGGTGTGTAGCCCTGTCCTTGATTATGGTGAGGAGGCATTAATCCCCTGTTAAAGGTTTTTAACTTGGATCGTAAGAAAGATGGTGGAGCATGTTACAGAAACAACCTGCACAATGGTATGGGTTTAGGAGTAATGCAAAGTCCCTTTCTCCAGCAAAACAATAAATAAAAAGAAAAAATACACATTTACACATATGCAACTGTCGCTTTTTCATTTTAATGCAAATTCCATTGTGAGCATTTCATCATTTCAGTGAAAATTTTACTCCTATGTTTCCAGTAGAAAAGTTCTAGATCCTTCCCGGGGATATGCATCAATAGAGAGAAAAGCAGGATGTAAGAAGTTAGGAGAGTGAGCAGGTCCCAGCTACAGATTGGGAGGCTGGTCTCGCAGTTGTCTGTGGACTTGACCATGAGGTGTTTCTTGCTGCCCCAGCAGGATCAGAAGCTAGTCCCCAAACCTCAGTTCTACTGAGAGTTCCTCTGCTTTACTCTGCAGAGGGTGTCTTTCTAGTCATAATAATAACTATTCCCTCAGGCTCAGCACCGAGGTCAGCATACCTACAGTGTGTCTGCACACATTTTCTCTCCCCTTCACATCCTTTCCGAGTTAGGTACACAAACAAAATCATACATTTACCTACTTCCTTTCCTTCACATTCTGATTGGGATTGAGAGATTAAAATAAGTAGAGCTCTGCCCTGGAAACTCTTAGGATGGGGTGTGGAAGAGGAAAACCACACATGGGAAACTGAATTCACAATAAGCAAGGGAAAACTAAAGATCAGTAAGATACATCTGACACATTTCCAGGCATTAAGAAATGAGATGTGGGGCTAGTGATGTAGCTCGATGATAGAGTGCTTGCTTAGCATGGGTGAGGCCCTGGATTCAATCCCTGGTACTGCCAAAAAGGAAGGA